TTATGTAAGTTACAGAATAGCCTGGAGTACTTTTAAGAAGTATATGGTTTGCACGTAATGTTTTTATGGCTGAATGGGTATTAGGCTTATATGATATGCCTTTTGATGAGTATACATGATATAAGGCTCCTACATATGTTGTGAAAATCATGATTTATTTGTCTTTGGCAGATTTGATTCATATAGAAAATGCTATATCCAAGTGGAGAATAAGTAAAGAAATAGCATACAGTCGAATACTTGTACCTTTCATAATTAATATCTATTTTGGAAATGTGCTACACTGCAACTAAGTCCCATTTGTGACTAATTCACTAGTCTACTTTTTTGGTGATGTTTTGTCTTGTCACAGCCTAAAAAGTATCACACCTAAAAAGTTGGATCCCTCAGCCTTCAAGATATGTGCCCAGACTGCTAAGAACAAATGGGTGGAAATGGGAAAACAACTTATCTAGAAAGGTATGTGATTGTTCAGTTTTGGTATTAATCTAACCCCAACAAGTGGATGTTATATGTTAATTCCAGTTTTTTACCTGTTTCTTATCGAGGAATCCAGGGGTTATAAGTTTTTTTATAAATAAAATAATTTTTTTTTGTTAATATATATGTTATAACTACCTATTAATTCTATAATATTTTACTCCTTAGGAGATTGAAGCCAAGATAAAGGAGCTTACTATGCTGGAAAGCATCAAGAGTAACCTGTCGGAAGGTAATTTAATTTATCGTGATGCTAAAATTTATTGTTAAAAAGCATAAATAATTACAAAAAAAATAAAAAAAATCCAATTAGCTATAGGACTGGCTTCCTTGCTAAATATTTAAATATTTGAGAACCGTAATTCATATATTTTTTATTTATATTCTAATTTTCTTGAGCCATAACACATTAATACACAATATTAACGTTATACTACACCGAGCTAGTATTAGATTTAGATTTGAATTTGATACAACCTGAAATATCTCATGGCAATCAGAACTGTACCTTTGCTAGATCATCTATTAGGAAGGGGCATCCTTATTAATCTAATCGTTTTATTTTTCATATGGAGATAGCTGGGGGTCTCTTTCTAATATAAGGTCCGGGCTTTAAAAGGGTGAAACCATCCTATGTGCATCCTAGACTTCAAATTGTTATTAACCAGGACGTTATATGTTAATACTTTGTTAGTGCATAGGCATTATAATAATATTGATTATCTTTACACATTGGATTCAATAATTCTGCTTTTGGTATAATGTTATTTTTCTCTCAAACATTTTTAATTGAATGGATGATACTGTCTTCAATTTGTCAAAATTGTGTATAATTGAATTTAATTATACAAAGGCATCTTTGTCTGGTGTAGAGCCAGTGATGTAAAAAATAGACTGAGATTGGCACAGTTGATGCTGGGCTTCTAGCTGTTGTTCTCCAACAAGTCTTCATCCTTTTCTCCTCTTCAATTCATATAGCATGATTTGTTCCATAATTTCATCTCTTTGGTGTCTCTGCTTATGTAATTTCAGAGTAATTTAGAAACTAAGGCAAACGATGATCTTGGTGCTGCCACAGAGTAATTTAGAAATTTAGTTGCTGTCAGTAGTTTGTAATTTGTTTCCTTTATCTTTGAATACATTGGTACTTAATATGCTCATCATCTTATGCTGCATTCTTAAGCTGTATTTGTAACAATGCTATTTTTTGAGGAAATTATCCTCCTATGTCAATGAAAAAATAATAAATTCAACAATAAACATGTCATTCTGAGCTAAAAGATGAAAGTTCTAGGTGGACAGATATGTTGTTATTTTATCTCATTTTTTCTATTAACTTTAGGTGACTATCTAATAAAAGTTGCTCTTGCATTATAATGGAGAGCTTGAAAGTAAACTAGATTGATCATATTGTAGTTTTAAGTTCTCGAATGAACTTAAAACTAATCTCATACAAACCACCTCCTTGCATTGTATAGGATAAGACTGCATACAAGAATTCCTCACTCTTACCCTCTCAAGTCGAGGTTTCATGGGGGAGTGATTTTTGAGAATACATATTTTGACCTATTCTTGATTGATCCCATATCTGATCCTATTTATTAGGGGGTTTTTATTTGACAAATTGTATTCCTTATATCTTCTTTATGGGTGTGACTTTATCTTTATTTTATTGCATGCTGTATGTATACTTCCTTCAGGCTTTAACTGTTAATCTTCCATAGGTGTTGTCCCCGTCCTCCAGTAGAACTTACGGGGAAAGCTTTGCAGCAATCACTTTCTGATTCTTCAAAGCACTATCCAATAGAAGAACAGAAGCCTTCTAAGAGGTCCTAAAGTGGCAGTAACACTTCACCGACATTGTGGTCATACTAAAAATATTTGCTCGATACGACTCTATTTATTGTGTTCCAGGGGAAATCTATCCATGACATTGTTACAAGATATATAAGTGGAATACTGATATCATTATTTTATTTTTTTTATTTTTTTTCAGATGTGCATCGGTAACAAACATTATAAAGGGCTAGGATGCATACAGAAGCAACTTTTAGAAGGCAAATTTTTAAAAAAAAAATTTGTGCTGTCATATTTTATTTAGAACTATGAAATTAATCTTTTGTATGGATATCTCGTTGCAATGACAAAACGTCTGGTTTACTTTTATTTAGCCATTATTTCTCTTATGAATTGTAAAAATGATGGCTTTTGATAAATTGTATGAAAAACTTGATTAGCTTATATGAATTGAAAAAAAGGCTTTTGAGAAATTATATACTAGACTGTGCTCTTTAATTACCTCATGATTGTTGAATATGAAGGAATTGTGTACTAGCAATTCTCATTATCTGCATTTCATATGATCCAGAGAATTTAAAATATTCTTTAATTTTAAAAAATGAATTATGTATTGTTAGCCACAGTTATTATCATGGAAAAATATAGCTTTTGTTCTGTGGCGAACTAAGTCATTTAGCCATGAAATTAACGTACCTAATTTAAGAAAAGCTGTGGGTAAGTAAATGTTGCCACGCTCTTTCCAACAGTGGCCAACTGCAAAAATTGCCGTGGTTAAAAAAATGCAACGCCACTTTTAGCCACGGTTTTCTAAACTGTGGAAAGTGATTTCAGCCACGTCTTTTATCACCTTTTACCACGGTTTTGGTCGTGGCTAAATGGAGTATTTTTTGTAGTGTTACAGCTATAGTGAACAGATATAGTGAGCAGCTTGAAGTTTTGTCACGTGTTAATTATTTATATATGCAGATAGCTTTACATATGGCGTCATTCAATTGATTCTATACACCTTTGGACTTGAAGTGGTTAGGGTTTATAGAGTTGATAATATGCTCTTATGACATATTTTTTTATGTCATCTGAATCACCCTCAGTTAGTAGTCAAACTTGGGTGCTCATTCTACCCTAAAGAGATCCGTTCTTCATAGGATCACAAGTGAATAATCGCTATAAGTGATTAAAGTAAGTTATACCATATCTCATAGCATCGTTCTTTATGAAAATAAAAGGATGAAAGTGTTGATTAGTTAATTAAATTGGCTTAATTTGCTTGAAGTTTCATCTGTTCAACTCATTATAGCGTTTAACACTTTAACTTAATTTTGGGTTTTAATAAATTATTTCCTTTAAAGAAAGATTAAGTCATAACAAATCCAAACTAATTCATTGGGTCTAAAAGAACCATTTTTTTAACTAAAAAAAAAAAAAACCATTTCTATTAAAGGATTAAATCATTTTATAATTAATATAATTTCACTTTATAAACTTAGATTCACAATGTGATATTTGATAATGTTATTCGAAATTCAAAATTTCAAGTTTTATCAAATGTTGAAATTGTTGAGTGGGATGTAATAATCAAGAAATATTTAGTGTGAGACTGATTTTCATGATCGGTGGATACAAACTCCTTTTTAGGTATTTGATTAGCTAGGTCTTTTTTCTAGCTTATTTATATTAAGCTTAAGCCCTACGAGTCATTATGCTCTTATTACAAGAATACTGTCATTTTTTGAATAGGTCGTAAAGATAAATATCCTAACGCATCAAATTGCTTCATTCCTCCAACTTTGTGACGCAACAAGTTATGTACAACCAAAACTTTAATTTTATTATTGTTTAGGTATTTTGTAAGTTGTAACCATACACATCATTTAGAAATTAAGTTTTATCCTATCTTTCTTTTTCTTCTTTTTTTGGAAATATTCCAATCGGTTCATTGCTTCGCAACTAATCCGATTTGGGGCGAGTCCAGGATTAAGGCTTTAAACCCCTCCCAAATATGATACTGGGAGATTCGAACATATGCTCTCATCCCCACCTGCTTAGCTCCCATGCGCCAACTGACCTACCACCATTTGGTATCATATCTTTCTTAATATCATTGCTCTAGCTTCTTTTTCTAAGGTTGGTAGCAGGTTTGCACTGCACCCGTCACAGCTCGCAGTGCAATTCCCAAACACACTATGAAGCCTAGATCTTGATGTAGGCTTTTTGAGCACTTCAAAGAAAATTAGAAGGTAAATGATAAGATAATTAGACAAAATAAACCAAAAGGGGCATGATCTATTGATACTGCCTTCACTTTTCAGTACCCAGGTCCAATATAAATTTTTGAACATGTGTTAGAAAACAAATTGAGCAATTAACTCAAATTCCTCCAAATTTGGCTTATATATATATAAAATCAATAGGCGTCAATTTGGTAAATTAAATTGAATTCTTAGACAAAAGAAAGCTTGACAGTGGTCAATTACAATAAAATCACACCATATACCTAGCTAAGATTTAATGACAAATTACACTAGCAATACTGTAGTCAATTAACAGAAATTAAGAAAGAAAATGAGCTGAAAATGCTGGTAATTAAATGACTATTCCCCATGTTCTCTATTATTAGTACTACAGATACTTACGTAAGTACAACAGAGTACGCAAGAGATAAAAAGGGTAGGGTTGTGCACTAATGTCTGGTCTGGAGTCTGAACAGTAATGATCCATCTTTAGCAGAATGTTTGCTGAATTTGTTGAGCGAGTTCTTCGGCACTGAGTTGGCATTCAATTCCAATCTATATATATAGGAGAGATTTATAAGAAACCATAATTATTAATGGACCAAAATTGAACACGTAAATAGCATACATACTCAATCATTAGCCTCCATCAATTTTAATAATTTCTGAAAACGATAGGGTTATATATATATATATAAAAGTACTGCTTTTAATATATATTTTGTTTTTTTTTTTTCACCAAATGAAGACAATGCTTGCGAGATGCCATGATGTACATCCCTGGCGTCTCAGACATATGCAGTAAAAAAGTATACTGGGTGTAATGCATGCCATTGATTACTATATATCGCAGTAAAAATGTACTTCACCGTAGATTACTGGCCAAAAAAATTTACAATTATTATTACTTCATTCAATATTCATTATCATCACGTACGGTCATTGTTTTAGATACACCTAATGCGTGTAGCTTAGCTGATAATATAGTTTGAGTAAGTGGAGAATGAATTTGGATTCAATTTCCATCAAATATATCTTTAGGAAATGATGAAATATTTTAAGCTGTAACTAAATTTGACTCGAGATTAATAGTCAGCTCAAAAAATTTAAACTTTTGAAAATAGTCGGGTTGGACTCGAAGGAAATAAATAAATAAAGTTATAGGATACTTCATAAGGCAAAATTTATTGCGGTAGAATAGTAACTAGTAAGAACTTGAAATCAAAACGGTCTTCATCAGGAGGAGGGTTTAAGTAACGAAAACAATTACATCACCGTGACACTGAAATCCAAACCTATCCTCAATATTAATGAAAAGGACTTAAGAAAGAGACAGGATTATTATACAAAGATATTGAGGCAATTATAAAGAACCAATTCAACCCAAAAGCTTAAGTTGTTAGATGAAGCTATATTAATGATTTTGTATATCTCAACATGTCCCCTCACACAATAATTCACTGGGTTTGAAAGGTGGATAATGCACAGGCCCACCTACCTGTGCGAAGAAAGAAATTTCACTAGAAAGAAAATAGGAGACGGTGAGGATCGAACCTGGTACACCGATCTGATACCATGTGAAGATCTAATTCAACACAAAAACTTCAACTGTTGGATGAGACTATATTAATAATTTTATATATCTCAACACCAATAATCTGACAAAAAAAAAAAAGAGTTGCCTCTAGCTGCTATAAAGATAGCTACGAAAAAAAAAAGGAAATACTTCATGCATGTGATAAAGACTGACAGAAAGTTGGTATCAATCTTTTCACTTCTTCATTTTTCAAAAAATACTTAATCATCAATATGTGGTGCTTTACGCCTTTACCATATATATAAAATTCTTATTAGTGCAAGGATTAGTAATATATTAACTGATCGAAACGCATTAATAAAAGTGTAAGATTAGTCATATGTATAGGCACACAGAAACACACCAAGAGTGTATTATATATACCTTAATAGTGAATGAGTTTAGCATGGTTTCATCAGCAGTGCTAATGCTCACATGGAGGATTTCGAGTGCTAGGTCTTCAAGGGCTGATACTATTCTCAAAGCTTGCCCGGGAATCCGTGGTGATACAGTTTTCAAAAGAACGTGTGGACCTGAAAACTTGACCTCAACATCGGCGATAGCAGACTTGGAATTAGCAACAAGCTCGTTGATATTATCGTTGATGGAAGAAGCAGAAGAAGAAGAATTAGAAGGAGGAGATGGGTCTCGAGAGTTGGATATAGTAGGGGAAAGGTAACCTTGTTGCAACTTGGGCTTGTAAGGGCTACCTGGTTGTGGAGTCCTTGGACTAATAGGCAAGTTTATTCTAGGACTCAAGGGTGGTTTTCGAGGACTTAGTGGTGAAGGCCTTGGACTTGAAACTAGCCTAGGGCTTAGTACATCACTGTAAACTTTTCTCTGTTTCTTGGCCTCAAGGCATTGTAGCACTTGTTGCAACTCGTTGATGTAATTAACCACACCTCCAATTATTGATGCTTGATCTCCCTAAGCCATATATAGGAGGAATAAGTTAGCATGAAGTAACATTGTATATAAAATAAGTTCAAAATTTGATATGCAAAAGACCTACTTATTCTAGCAAAAAACTTATTGTTACTTAGATATCCAATGACCAATAGAAAACTCTTTTAGAAACTTTCTTAATACAAACACACATCCTCCTATATAATCCGTTGAGAGTGTAATTAACATGATATAATAAGTGGCGGAGCTAGGGAGAAGATCCAAACAATGCCAAAAGATTCAAGTAGTAAAATTTAGCTAGTACTAATGTTGTATTATTTTTAAAAATCTAACCAATATTAAGGCTATAGCATAATTTTAAAAAAAAATATATGTAGCATTTTTGAAAATTAGTCGGTGTCAAGGCACCACTTAAGAGCCAAATGGCTCCGCCACGCCACCGGATATAATCACGTGAGATGATCCTCTTTATTCATAGTCAAATCAACTATGATGATTTTATCATATCTCGTTACCATTTATATATTAAATAAAATATGAGAGAATATATTTCGATTTGGAGATAATTAAATTTACATAATTAGTTAGGGTAAATAAAATCCTCACACGTCAAGAAGTTTTGGGTAAAGATATATAAGAGATAATTAAGACTTACTCGTTTGACATAAAAGCAAGGCATAAGTGACCTCAAGACAGACAAGTGCTCATTCATTTGCTTTCTTCGGTTGCGTTCAACAGTAATATGAGATATCCTTTGTTGTCCATCAGGGTTTGGTTCCTCTGGCGAAGTGGGGGCAAGTTTCTGTCTCTTGCTTTTGGGTTCAGTTTCGGGTTCCGTTTCATAATCTTGTGGAGCACTTGAAGAAGTTGACTTCTGAGAAACCAATCTTGAGTTTTGCTCATTTTCTTTCAAAGTTGGAGTAATTATAACAGCTTCATCGATGGGAGGAAAATTGTTGAAGCCTTCTAGGCTCTCCAAAATGGAAAAGAGATCCTCTCCACCAAAGTTGGTGTCCCCAAACTCTGTCTCTTGGAAAATATCAGATAAGCTCTCATCCATTATAAGCTTCTGGGTTTCCAAGAAAAAAAAAGAAAAAAAAGAGAGGTTAGTAACTGTTGAGTGAGGACCAAAAAGGTGTAAAATGAGGAGTGATATATTGTTATGTGATAGAGACTACCGCTCACCATGAAGGCATCAACTTGTACTAATAGTGTTGTTGAAAAGATGGTTTTGTAAACGGTAAGATACGGGTCTCGAGGGGAATCAGAGACAGTGCTGCACTGAATCCCAAGAACGCAGAATGCAGGCCAGAAGAGAAGCAGTATCAGACCACAACAGTTATCTAACTTTATAATTACAAGAAATATTGAGAGCCGTTGGAAGGGGAGAGAGAGAGAGAGAGAGAGAGAGAGGGAGAGAGGGAAGGAGAAGAGGAGGTAGAATGGAGAAAGATATAAGGGTTTTTATATATGATAGTAATGCTAGAAAAGATGGAGTGTGGAGAATTAATATTGATGCTGCTATTTGGTAATGCAACTATTTATATTTTTGATGAGTTAGTTATTTTACCACTTACAAGTGCTGCAAATGGAGGATATATAATAAGGGCATGGATCACCAATGAGTGTATTGTTTTGTAATTTGCAACAGAGGGGAGAGAGAGAGAGAGAGGGGGTCGAGAATCATCCACATTAAAATTGCCTTTCATAATACCTATGCTATCCTTCATTAATGCTTGAGTGAAATATTTAAACTTATTTGAAATGTTATGTTATTAAATGTCTAAACTCAGAGCACCTTAAATGGATACCTCTTATTTTGAAATTCAAGACCTTTTGGCCCATAATCATAAATACCTCAATTTAATTTGTTTGGTTTAGTCTTTTTTGTTGTTGTTATAAGTAGTAATCGAATAATAATCTAAACACAACCTACCCAAATTACTCGCTACTAGACCAATCCTAATAACTTGTTTGGTTTAGGCTTATTATATTCGAATCGATCATCCACTTAGGGTATCGGGTTTATTGGTTCAACTAATAAATGAATTGAATATATATATATATATATATATATATATATATGGAAAAATTAAAAATTCAGTTCTGGCCCGTCCAGTGCACTAAGTTCTCCCGCGAGAACTTAGTAAAATAAATATTACAATGGTGTTCTTCAGGTGTTCTCCTGGGAGAACATAATTATAATTTTACTATAACTGTGTTCTCGCGGGAGAACATAGTGCACTGGACCAATTTTTACATCCAGTAACTGTACACTCACTAAACCCTATATATATATATATACATATATATATATATATATATATATATATATATATATATATATGGGTCAGGATCATTTTACACCAGTGTAAGTTACACTCTCAATCTTGACCATTGATCTCACTTATATCTAAGAACTCTAATTTTTTAGTAATGTGAGCCGTTGGATATAAGTGAATCAATGCTCAAGATTGAGTGTAAGACTTCTAACTCTTACACTGGTGTAAGGTGTACCCATATATATATATATATATATATATATATATATATATAGAGAGAGAGAGAGGGGCAGGATCCTTTGACACCAGTGTCAATTTTCAAATTTGACACCTCATCTGATGGCCGTTAGATCAAAAAAGATCAACGACTCTGATTTGTAAATATGTGACACCATTGATCTTTTTTTATCTAACGGCCATCAGATGAGGTGTCAAATTTAAAATTTGACACTGGTGTCAAAGAATCCTCTATATATATATATATATATATATATATATATATATATAAAATAACAAAAATACTAAACAGACATATAAATCTGGCTTAGTGATTAATGTTATATGTATTCTTCAATAAGTCATAAGTTTGAACCCTATGTATTGTCTTGGAAAATTTTATACAAAATTCAAAAAAACGATTCAATCAGAAAATTGGTACCGATCGATTTAATACTAATTAAATCCTGTTTAAAGTTGATTTACCGGTTGAAGAAAAGTTTGACTTCTTAACTACTTAATCGACTGGACTGAATTGGACTGGTTAGTAGTCTGATTTTAAGATGAATCGGTTACATCAACCGAACCGATTTTAATAATATGAGTTTGGTTTATAAATAATAAAATTAATATTTATTATTCATAACACTTATTTTATGTTTTTAATTTTTTAGACTGTATGCCCTAAAGACATACATTTCACACAATCCAGATTTAATAAAGGGTAATAAAAATTACATTAAAATTTAAATTATAATTTTAGTTTCCCACGCTCATCTTATCTGATAAATTTCTTTAAATTGATTCTCATATTTAAAACCATTTTCAATTCAGTCTCAACTATAATTGTGATAATAGTGTGATGTACTCTTCCTTATATTTTATAACTTGCTATAAACTATGTTAGAGAATAATATAAATAATTTAAAAGGCTTTCATCGAATAGTTTAAGTTTTTGGGTTGAAATGATTCTTTACATGCATCAGAGCCTAGGTGTCACGGGTTCGATCTTTACTGTCCCTCTTTAATTAATAATTAATTATTTCTTGTTGAGTTTCTTTTTTTTGGAGTTACCCAACCCTAATTACCTCTTTGAGGCGAGTTGGCTTCCTCCGGTATCCCCACGAGCTTCGACTCTTTAATTAATAATTAATTATTTCTTGTTGAGTTTCTTAGAAGAGCATGTGCATTATCCACCTTTCAAATTCAGTGGGCTTGGAGAACATATTAGAAAATAGTATAAAAATCATTAAAAAAGATCTGACCCAACAATTTAAACTTTTGGGTTAAAATGGCTCTTTACAAGCTATTTGTCTCTTCTATAATTTAATGATTTAGGAATTTAGCTTTACCATTATTGTCTAGATTTTTTTGGGGGGGGGGGGGGGGGGGGAGTATGTCGAATATTAAGATATATAAATGTCAATTTTTTTCTTACGAAATAATTAAATTTGCTTTACCTTGTTTTTCTAATTATTGAGCTGCTTGTTCAAATCAATATTTTCCCGAGCCTTTTCATTTTCGTATAATTCTGAATACGACTAATTTTTAAAAAAAATTCATGCAAGGACGAAATTAAAAATCAACATTACATATAGAGATTAAATTGAAAATGAGTATGTATAGAGACAAAATTATAATTTAACTATACAAGTTATTAGCATATCATTTATCCATTATACACGTACAAGAATATATCACGCCGTTATCATGTCAATAGATAATAGGGAATGAATTGAGAAAATTTTCACATATGAAGTCCGATTTGAAATTTTTTTAATATAGCGACTAAATTTAAAATAAACATTAAATATAGAGACTAAAATTATAATTCAATCTACATTTACTCATTTTAAATATTCAATGTTAGCTGCTTCATGCATATGCTTAAATGTAATGTAAGAAATACCCTATACATGACCCCAAAAAAATTCGTGCAAAGGTTGTAAGAATATATGAACTACTTATAGCAAAAAAAATATTGGCGTTTCCAAGAAACTTAGTTTATTGTGTAAGAGAACTAAGGTACATACCATACCATACTAATCTTACGTTCATTCAGTCATATATATTCTGTCATATGTAGTTTGGTTATATTCTTGAAAACACAATTACAGTATATATAGAATAGAACATTGATTTATTTAATGTAATGTGAGGGAGTTAAAACATTAGGTATAAAAATATTCTGTAAATTTCCTGCATACCTTTCTCTCTTAATTGCTTGTTCTCTTTATAACCCATTTTAATTTAAAACTTAAGCAAACTAGTTTTATAGGCATGTGTCCTCATTCGCACCTTTGATTATAAATATATTAGTTAAAGATGGTAATTGAGTAAATTAAAAATCAGTGAAACATAAATTTGAAACTGAGTAATATTTAATTGCAGTAATTACATATCATAAATAGTCCTAGGTTACCTACTTTATGGGGAAAAAGAACAAAAGACAGTAGCATGCAGGAAAGCCAAATTAAAAGTAGAGAATGTTCTGCTTGAAATCTCACTATACAATTACCGGCCAGTGACGGCACTGCAACATATAAATTCTGGATTCTGTCGTTTATGTGTTGGCCACTAGTTTCGTTTGTTTTCTAACTGAAAATTCTGTACAGGAAAACATTCTTAAAATAACAAAACATCGTGCAAATCCAGCCCCTATCTTTTTCCTTTGTCAACTCCAAACATTCAATTATTTGTATCAAAATGTTATGAAACTGACGCATACATATAGTTATTATTAATAAACCAATTTTTCCAAAAGTGTAAATATGTAACTATAATTTGTAATTATGTAATTATTATGTCACGAGGTAATCTATAAGTTGAGCTTCTTGTAGCTAATAAAATCATGCATGATATGAGAGGAGAAAGTGGGGTATACGAATTATCCGCTCCAACGATCAAATCAATAACCCATAATAGAATGGAAAAAGATGCATACATATATGATATGCAGTAGGATACCTATTTATAAAAGTGGTGAACGGGCACTTCATGAAGAAGCTTTTTGTGCCCGAATTATAAATAATCTAATTAGTAATAAAAATTCTAATATCATGTTAATAATAAATTATCTTAAAATTTTCAATTATTAAATAAAATACATTGAATGATTTTATTATATTTCTATCTGTAACATGTTAAAACTGGTGTTCATGCTAATTGGCTATAGTAAGTAGCTCTCCCCTGGTTAGTCAACTATAGTGCAAGTCCAGTATATAAGGAAAATTTTAAAGTACTGTGAGGGTATAATTTCAACTGTTGAGATTTGATTTAAATTTCATTATATAAATTTTAAAATTTAACCCAATATTCACATATATAATTATGCTCAAGGGCAGAAATATAACAAGATTCTGAGTGGGGATACAATAATAAAAATTAAATTTCCTTTTTTTGGAGCCAAATTATTTCTCAAAATACATAAAATTTACTCCCCACCAGCGATGGTAGGAAGAGAGTAATTTTTGTGCTTACCCTTATATAATTGCAAAGATGCTATTTTTCGGATTCGAATTCGAATTCAAACTCGCGACTCTTCAGTCATAAAAAAAACAAC